AAAAAAAAATCAAGGCGGGCGAAAAAAACGATGCGGGCGGGGACGCGAAACATGTTTTTTTTTTTATTTGGCCTAACATCGTAATCATTTCTCTCTGAATTCTGATGTTTATTTTTTTTTTTTGATGGAGGAGCCAGCTCTCCTGAATGTGGGATTCTCCCCACTGGCACTACCCCGTGGATGTAAGTTGTAACTCGTCAAGATAGAGACACAACAGATTTTTCAATTCTGTTCATCATTTAATCAATAGGGTACGATGATAAAGGCATTCTCTGGCCTCTCTACCCAAGCAAATACTGCTCCTATTTGTAAACCTAGTGGAGTTATGACTACATTTTTACTGGTTAATATAAATAATGATTATAAACTATAATATTTTTTAATGGTTTGCGGCAACAATGGTTCAGGGATGAAGTTTTTTGTTGCTGTGGTAGATTCATGTTTAGGCTGGTACAGTTGTTTGGAAAAGATTTATAGTTTATGTACTGTAGTCCTAAACCACTTTATATTCTTAGGTTAAGATGGTGCTTATTCACTTCGCTACCTCAGTGATGGACAAGACAGGAATAGACAACCTCTCTTGGGGTTTCCTTAAAAATAGCATGCATTTAGAAAACAGAAAAAGTCAACTGAATGTAAATTTCCTACATAGAAAATAATTGAATTAATTGTATACCTTTATAGTGAACTAATATCTGATGTTTTATTATTGTTAATGCTTGCCACTGATCCGTATTTACGGAATTTGCATAAATAGTTCTAATTGCTTTAGAAATAGCAACAATTTATACAATAAGTGGTTAGTGTAGTAGGGTAAGTATTATAAATAGATTTTAATAGTGTGGCTCACTGTTGTGTAATTCTATACTATGTTTTTTAACCTTGAATTCCTTTGGAAAAGACTGAACAATAAATAAAGCCATGATGTAAAGAAGGTTCATGGATAGAAAGTAGGCCTATAGTTTTCTCATTCCTGAGGATGACCCAATAAAGGTCTAACTAAACGTTAATCATGGTCTCCCTCTCATTAGAACGTTCCTTCAATGTTAGTAGGCCTATGCTGTCAAGTATTTAAAAATATTCTTTTGGACATCAATTTATTTATTGTTTATTTAAAGAGTGTGAACCATCCAACAGAAGCTGACTATTTGGGAAAAATACAAATATTTAGAAAAAAAATCCTTGCTACTTTTCTGTACTATATAAATATATCATTGAAATTATTACAGACAACATTAACATAGTAGGCCTACTAGGTAAAATTAATTAAAAACATCTGCATATTTGTAGAGGCCTATTGGTGTACATGCATTAAAGTTCAATGATTTGATGCTGAGAAGGATGAATATAGGCTAACTAGCTAATTTTCAATAGGTTTCATATTTTGTTTAGTGCTACAGAATACAGTTCTATGTTACCTAGTATATCAGTATAACAGACTATAGGCTTATATTAAATACATAAGGATCTAGGATTCTCGGGACGAACTTAATCACTATCAGTAAATTGAAGATTTTTCTTTAGTTAGGTTCTAGTGATTCCTGACTCTATGAGAAACTGTGGTTTGAAAATTCCTTTGTCACTGAGAATCCCACAGAAGTGGGTTAATCTTAGGCCACAATGCCATTCATATTTTCATTCTAGATATAGAATATCAATCACAAACAGAATGAATCAGTGAATATATATACCTGGTCGGCACAAGCACAGTACAACGGTCTGTGAAGTATTGGAACCAACCAATCACGTTGAAGATTATCAGTCGCATTAATCCAGCAAATTTAATACTACTTGTATCCATGTACGCTTGATGTCGGAGAAGACCTCCGTAGTCAATCCTGAATGATGGATGTCTCTGTTTAATGAGATCACTTTGTAAAAGTTATCCTCATTTATTTCTTCATCATTGATTGGGAGTTCCCCCAACCCCGGCTTATTAACAGTTAGTAAAGGTTAACACTAGGGTCACCATGTTTTTTGGTTTAAGATACAATAGCACTATCTAGTTTATAGTTTTGCTATCAAATGCTTTTATTAATCTTTGGGACAGACACTTTACTCCATTACAATTGTTGCTGTCCAGTCTAAATCCCTATCTTAATTTTACTGGTTGTTTCTTACAAATTCGAAAAAATTATGTACATTGTATCAATTTTTACATTTAATTTGTCTATCATCAAATACTTATGATCATACTAAAACACATACTTTACTCTGTGTAGAATAAAAATGTATTACATTGCACCAGGTTGAATAAAAGAAAAAAAGAATACAAGAGGAAAATGTATTTGGTGTTAAATCATTGTCAATTGAATTGCTGAAAGATGTCCTACAGTACTACTATAGATAAGAAAAAAAAAAGATACTGTAGTAGGCATGTAACAAGTAATATATGTATTTTCTCATATTCTTCCTTTTTTATGCTCTCGTATTTTACTTCCACAAAGCCAAAACATGCACTAAGTACTGCAAAAATGTTAAGTAACAAGTACCTTAATATCTATGTCTTGACCTGGTCAAGGTCATTATATATTTGTTTAAAAGAAAGAATGGGGCCCATTCTATTTTATAAAAAATATTGAATGGGGAAAATAATTGTAATGTTTGACCTAATTTTCTTGAATGGCAATTATTTTTTTGAATATTAGCAGGCACTTTGTAAGGAAAGAAATATGTTTGTATCGATATCATCAGCCTATGTACTCTTATTAAAATGGCACATCTTATGTTACACTGTGACACTACAATATATAACCCGCATGGCATAAGTACTATCCTAGGTTATGTTACATTGGTATATTATTTTTACATTTGGTAATGCACAAATGCTATGCGATAAATGCCCAACTCTTATGTTAGATAATGCAGGCTTCTGAAAAAAAATCCATTTGTTCTGATGAAGTGTTTCAAGTGCAAGGAGATATATTGTTGCTACCTAGATTTCAGTACTTGTTTTTAAATATGTGATGACAGTAAGGTATATAGCTGCCTCATTGATAACCTGGTTGTCAGTTGTTTTCGTTGTTGTTTGTGAATACAAAATACGTTATTCTAAACCATGTAAGGGCATTTTCATCAGTCTTGAAGAAAAGAATGTAAAACAACTATAAATCAAACTAGGGTTCTCAACCATTGTGTGTCGGTTGAGCATTTTCATCAAAGATAGGACAATGAATGAATTAACAGGGTTTTAGAGAAAAAATATATCGGAGATTCTATGGATGTTGGCAGTTAATTGAAATATGGTGTCTGTTGTGGCAGAATTGAGAACTTAATCTAATCATTAATAGAGCATGGCATCTTGGATTGTTTTCTTGGCAGTTTTTATCAAGTGCAAATTGAGTATTTGATGATGTTTTGCCAATTGTCTCTTAACCTTATTATATTGTTAAATAATGTGTCTACTGACGTGTCATTAATTGCGTTCTGATTTTCAGACCATCAGGAAGGAATGAACATTGGAATTTCAGGATTTGTCAGTTTTACAAGTTCAAAGGATTATTAGTCAACCCCGCTTCCCTCCACCCCCACCCCTCCTCCAAAAAAAAAAACAAAACAAAACCCAAAAACAGTAATCTGTTGTATCAATGTATGATCAAACTTTATTTAACAAAATAAATTGAATCAATTGTATACTTTTTTGCAAAATAATATTAATTGATAAAAATAAAATTTATGAAATGCCTATTATTAAAGTTAAAAACATAACTTGCCACTGGCCATTTTGAAGAGTAAATTTATCCTACTGTATATTGTCACATGATGTAAACAATTTTTTACTTTAGTCACCCTGGTGTATGGTGATTGTTATTCAATGAAGATTTTTCCAGATGTCTGCAATGTTTTGATCATGCAGCTATCTTTTTCTTTATCCCTGGGTTTTTTTTTTATGTCTAGGTTTATTATTTAGACTGGTGACATTACATTGTGAGAAATAAGGTGATATGTTCAGAAAGAAAAAATATTTCTGTGGATGTAGATTATGAAAAGAAAATTTATCATAATTAAAAACAAAATGTATCTGTACCATAATAATATAATTTTGTTTTAATGTCAATATTAAAATTGCAAATTTTCTTTTATGTCTCCAATAATATCCATAGCAAATGAATACTAAAAAGTATTGTATGTAAATGAGCCGTACAATTTTAAAAGTCTTAAAGATTAGCGCAGCGATTTGATTTAAACAAAGTGCCCGGTGAAGCGGAAAGAATGAGCATGAAAGTCATAAGTCCTGTATTTTAACCAAGAGATCTAGGCCTACAGTACTTGTTTTGTGTTAATACCACTACTGACTTGTGTGAACTAGCATTGTGCTGTGCTTCCTACTGATTTGTTGAGGATACTGCGAACTATTTACATTTCTTGTTTCAGGAAGGCGTATGACATGCCCACAGGGACGGCATTCCACTCCATTTATTGGGATCTTTGAACTCATCAAGCAGTCTGCCAATTATGTAAACACGGAACAAAACATATTTGATAGAGCAGCCTCTCAAATTGATTTAAAAAGCCATTAATGATCCTCACATTATTAGAAAGTATGTTTTCATGGTTGTGTACCAGCACATTTGTGTGTGGTTTGCTGTAGGGTTAATTATACTGTAAGGCCTACATGTGTGCAATTAATTCTCTACATGATTACAGTTTTTTTGTTCTTTTTTTTGTCGTTAGAAAGCATGTGCTTTTCAGTGATAATATAAATTTATATTTTGTCTAGTTGCATATTATTTTATACCAAATACTGTAACATTAACAGCACTCTGCATTATCCATTATGGATAATGAAATTACTGTAGAAACCTAAAAATGTTCAAACTATCTAAAATATTAATAAAAACATTTCATCTTACTTTGATACATGCTACTAAATTTATTAATCGGATTAAAGATATTCTTTGATCTTTTTAAAAATGAAACTCAACAATATCAAAATATTAAATAAAAAAACTGAATCACATTTTAATAAAAAAAGTTTATAAAGTTGTTGACAAGGCTTTATTAGACTAAGCATCCATCACATTTTCATTAAAGATTTTTAACAAAAAAAAAATTAAAAAAAATTGCTGTATCAGAAATAATAATAAACTAAACATCTCGATAATAAAAGGTTACTAAATTTTTTGAAGGTTATTGGACTAAGCATCCTTTAAAATATTCTTTACCTAAAGGGGTTTTTGTTTTTAACGAAAACCTAACAATATCTGCTATTTTGGATTTTAGAATTACTGTAAGCTTCTATCTAAAAGGATTTCATTTTGGAAATTGCCAAAAAAAATATATCATCTAATAAAAGTATTAAACAGATAAAAAACACTTTTGTGGAAGAAGTAATATTTTAAAGGATGATTTATACGAAACAATCCGCACGAATACATTTGAATTTGTTAGGCAATTGTTCCCTGCAGTGCACGTTGGATTGAAATATGCCTCTTAACATTACAAGGCACAAATTATGGTTTTCTGCTTTTTGCTTCTGGTGATCTTTCGTTGATGAATCACTTGTTCCAGTTTTACATAGTAATTTAAGTACTGTATACTTACGTTGGAAGTGTGCTGGGTGAGTGATTATATATGGCACTGAATATATAGTGTGTACGTGCTATTGTATAATTTAATCCTTTAGCAAACCCAGTGTTTTTTTTTTTGTTAAAAAATTAAATTTAATATTGTGTAGTGTTACGATGAAGGTCTGCTTTTGTATTAGTTAATCCTGTATCTTTTTTTTTTGCAAAAAAATATTAAATTTAATATCATTATGTAGGGTTAGAATATGAAGGTTTGTGCAATAACGGATTGTGTGGCATTGATGGTTCTTTGCAATATCATTACTTTAATTTTGCCGAGGACAACATCTTCAGAATTAATGCTAGACTTTTCGTAACGGTTTCAAAAAACAATAATTTTTATACTACAAATATTTGCTGAAGCAACAAATACAGTGTATTAAAAGATTGTCTTCACCCTATGAAAAATATAATACTGGTATATTAATAACAATGATCAACACTTTTGTATAATACTTTTGTTTTTTATGATGAAGCAAGATTTAGAAATAGTATTAAACAAAATTGAGAATTTCTCTAAATATGTAATTCCAATGACCTTTGATCCGAATTGGATATCATGTTTTATGATTATCATCATTCATTATTAAATACTTTAATGACCTGGTGTCAACCGTTAGATTCATATTATAATGTAACTATAGGAAAAGGAAAAATTACCTTGTAAACAAAATGAGCATTTAAACCAAGACCCACCCAAAGGGCTTGAGCAGCAGCTGCCATGTGGGATATACTGTACTATACAGTAGCGGGGCAAGGCAGTTCATCTAACCTACTTGTTTGCAATGAGTAACTAGCATTCTACAATACTTTGTTAGGAATAGCTTTCAATACAGAGAGTATACAACAAAGCTTGTGAGATATGGCTTGGTTGTGGTCAGGGAAGTCAAAGCTACAAATAATTGCTTGGAGTATTGTTGTGCTTGCATATAGTATATTGAAGGATGTGGTGATAATACTCAAGAAGGTCACAGAAATAGTGCATACAGATTGGTAATGAATGATGATTGATTTTAAATAAAACTATCACTTTCATTTGCATGCTTTGTTGTTATTCACACGTGATTCTATCATTTATCATTGTCTTTTGGATGGGAGTGCTCTTGTCGTTGTTATTCCGCATTCTTTTTTCTTGGTTTTAATGCGTAATTGAGTTTTTTTCGGCATGGAATGTAGCCAGAGGACGTTGTTTTGACTGGTGGGTCTGGAATAATGAATTGCAAATTCTACCTTGCTGTAACCTAAAATGAACGTTACTCAGAGTAATGAGGGGGAGGCCATAATTTGACGTTTTAACCTTTATTATCCATCTTCAAGAATGATTTAAACATGAGACAGTGATTCCAAAAAGAATATGCATGAAACCTTAAAATGCATTCTTGGTAACACTCCCTAAAGTAGTCTAAAAAAGTACTGACACGTTATTATTGAATCACTGAAAATCTCTGAGAGAATTCTCCATCGCGAGAGAGTGATCAACACAAAAAATGCTGTAGTAGTATAGAGAATAAGATTCAAATTCACCTGAGCAAATTTCAGATTGAGCAAATTTCAGATTGAGCTGAGCATGTTTCAGACTGAATAAAACAAGATAACATGAGCATGTTTCAGACTGAATAAAACAAGATAACAGCACCTTAGTCATAGAGTACCACATTCAAATGAGCAATCAGAGCACTGATCAAATCATGGAAAAAATAAAGCTTCATGTTGTCTTGTGTCAGTTGAGTAGAATCTGATGCAATAATTTAAGTTTAAGATGAGCACCCAGGGATGGTGCTGAAGTGGGTTAGGTACAGCTGAAAATTACTTCCAACATTTTCATCTGTGCGTATGTACTGTATTATTAATACAAGTTAATATTTTTTTTCATGAAATTTTTATTTCTTTTCCAAAGTCAATTCTGCTTTATTGTACAATATTAGGTTGCATATGTTGGCTCATGGGGAGCCTTATGCCGCGTAGGGAGAATTCTCTTACAGATTTTTGGTGATAGAATAATAACGCGTCTCTTCTTTTATAGACTACTTTATGTGTTGTTATCAAGATTGCGTTTTTAGGTTTCTGAAATTCAGTTCATAAATAATAGTGTTCTGTACTAGGAATTAATGTAGTAAGCTACCCTGGCCATGGTTGGTCTTCTACATTAATAATGCTATTGAAAGTAAATTAATGACAAGAGAGTCTAATGGTAATTATTAATATAAATAATTAGAAAATTTGCACTGGAGACATTATAACTGTTGTGTAGGCCTACTGTAGAATGCACTAAAACATTGTAATCGATAGTTGTCATTATCATTATCATCATCATCATCATACACTTAATTTCATGAAATTAAAATATTTTATATTGTTACATAAAATGTCTGTAATAATTGAGGATCGTTGTAAACAAAATCATAAATTATAAATTAACAAAATAATATACTATCATCTTTATCTTCTGTAACATTATGCTGTGAATGCTCAATTTAAGTTGTGATGTATATCATTTTATACCCATTCATTGCAACTAATTGTTCATGGTGTAAATCCATACTGTATCAGATGTGGTGTTAAAATACAGCCTTTAGTATGCAATTTACAATTCCACATTAATGGCCTCAATCCACAGCAGCCTCCAATCTGTCAATGCCTCCACAGTCAGTGTAGCCAGTCAGCCAAGGCTACTGTCTATGTCATCCAGAGCTTAGTAGTTTTGTCCTCATCAATCCAATCTACTTTCGTCACAATCAGAAGTGTGTGTTATGAGGGGGATTTGGAGGTCGTTTGCTTGGTTCTACTAGTTCTTTAGAAACTGGTGTCATCTTCATCACAACTTCTAATTAAGATAAGTGAGGTATATATTTAGAAGGATGATGATTGAACAAAATAGATCTTATCGCTACTATACAATATATATTGTAGTTTTACATTGTAATTTTAGTCATTGATAATGATATTGATATTAATAGGGGAGACTTAGTTTTTTTTTTCCTGACATTTGGAACTTAATTTTACATTATATTATAACTTCACTCTGTTGATGTCATTTTAAAGTAAATTATTCAAAATGTTAAGGCACCTAGTTCTTAGCTATCCGACAGTTATTAGGAACATATGGCGAACTGTCAATCTTCAGTGTTACCATGACATCCAAACAAGGTGTTATTATTATATAGTAAATTTAGACATTGAATATAACCTTTATAATTTTTATAAGAATAATCAGTGGCTGGCCATAGTATTATTCCACTTAGTAGAGGATTCCTTTTGAATGTTTATTCTACTATGCGAACTTTAATACTGTAAGCCTATAACCAGAAAATGTTTAAAAATTTTCATAAAACCTGAAATTAAGGTAAGGTAAGGTAAGTAAATCATTTCATAATGACAGAGATCAGTGTGAGTTGGTGACCAGTATTTGTTTTTTTTTTTTTGAATAACAAGTAAAAATATAGTTAAGTTTAGTTATAAAACATTCCTATGTCTGTGTACACTTTATTTTTTTTTTTTTTAAGAACATATTTTATAACAAAACTGAGGCTGAAATTGCTTAAAAATTAAGGACAAATTAAGAATAAATTGAGCCTGAGGTAAAATATCAAATTAAATTTTTATTTTAAAAACTTGAAGAAACAAAAATTTATATCTGTACCTTATGAGCAGTAGGTGTGACTATGTAATAGCCTCTATGACACAGTACAGTAAGTGTACGTACTTACAGTACCTCTTGTTTTGGGCCATTTCTTATAAAAAATAAGAACATTGAGCCTGGGGACAGAATTTTACTGGTTCTTATAAAATATTGCAAGTTAAAATATGGTTAGAGTTTCAGACCACAAAAAGTTACTTAAGTTCGTAATATCTTTTCTACGATTTTTTTTATGAAGCCAATTTATTTTTTTGTTAGTGATTCATCAGTACGTTTACTAGATTTTTTTCCGCTAACACCTGGCTTATAGACATCGGGGTTCACTTAAT